CGACGACGGACGACGAGGGAGAGGATCGATAGAAAGACTAGAGGGATGAAGAGGAGGAGGAGGAGGAGGAGGAGATAGGATGGATCCATTGTGATCGGAAGCTAGGGTTTTGGGATCGGAAATTTTTAGGGATTGAGTGATGGGAACGGGTCTTATTGGAGGGAAAATGGTCGGAGGATTTTTGAGACCCGACGGAGGATTTTATGAAGAATCCAATATTGTCGGAATCGCGCCCTCAATTGTTGAAATTGCTTTTAGGTCCCCTACATTTCTTATAATTTTGCGAACCAGCTTCATTCAACTAGGAAATGAAAGAACCAAGTGCAAGTAAAAGAGAAAAGAGGGGGCTAAAATGAAAAACATTCGAAAACTTCATAACATTTGAAATTTCTTAGCCTAAAAGTCGCCATCCTTATAATGAAATGTTTCTACCCAAAATCTGCACATCTCCATCGCCTCGGCTCTCAACTGCTAAACATCATGGCATTTTTTTGTTAGCTAAAAATTAGTTCCTTGCATCATTGAAATTGCTATTAGGTCCCCTAAGTTTAATATTAAACATTTTTAAGTAAATACTATCGAAGACAGACAACCAAACGGAAGAGAATTAAGATGATATAATATTTGGGCTTTGAATTAGCACATCACCGGTCAGTCCAAATTTTGACTTAGTCACTTGGGGACTTCCCTTTTAATAATCTTGAACCTCGAAGGTAACGTCTTTGTCATTCTTTTTGAGTGGGAATTCAAATGTGCAAGATTTATCACTATTAGAAAATCATGTATCTTAGATAGAATATTCTAGACGAAAAAATTTCTGTCTAGTTTGCTATTAAACTAGACGGAAAATTTCCGTCTAGAATATTCCGTCTAGGAAAAACATCCTAGACGGGAAAATTCTGTCTAGGATACTCCGTCTAGGAAGCATCCTAGACGGAATTTTCCGTCTAGGAAACATCCTAAACGGAGTATCTTAAATGGAATTTTTCCATCTAGGATACTTCCTAGACGGTTTTAAATTCCGTCTATAATATTCCGTCTAGGAAGCATCCTAGACGTAAATTCCGTCTAGAATACCGCATTCTAGACGACAACATACTGGACGCACATCATTTCGTCTGGGATAGTTTTTTAGACGGAATTTTCCATCTAGAATGCGTCATTTTGTACCAGTGTGGGTTTAAATTAAATTGTGTTTGGATGAATTTGAGAATACAGTTAAGGTCAGGTATGTCACGTACCAGAGAGTCCATTTCTTTAAACACTGGCAATATTTTTTTAAAAAAAAATTTGACTGAACATTTTCAATAAGACGCCAAGAAAAAAATTCATTATTATAGATTAATAACTATTTCGTTTAAGGTTAAGGTGTCAATTACAACAAAAAAACTTCTTGCGGTAATGAAATGGACAAATGAAAGCATGACGTTGCAAAATTTGATTACACCTTTAGCTCCCTCATAGTTTCAGTTTACTCAGTTCAATCTTTTTGGGCGGATACGTATAAGCTTCGTAGTTTATTTGCTGGCCAAGCGAGCTGAGTTTTGTGAGGGTTGTTATCAAATCAACCTGCATCCAGAAAGAAGCAAAATGAAGAGGACATCAATTCATCATCATTCTCTAGTTTATGAGAATAACAACTCAAGCCCTGCTGAAAATTTAGAGCTTTATTTGCCAATTTCAACTCTGCAAAATTTACATATCCAAGTGTTTGATAGATTTCCCGGAAACTCTGTCATGGTTTTTTTTTTTTTAGAAAAAAAAATGTTACCTCATAATCAGTTTGGGAGACGGTCTCTCTACTTCTCTGGTATTTTTCGACCCAAGGACGAACTTCAGGATCTGATGCTAACAGGCTCTCGGTCGCCAACTGATCAGGACCAAGAAATGCCGACATTACAGCAAGCTGCAAACAATCAGCCTCTTCAAGGTTAACAGAAGCAGATAGCTCTGGAAATGGTGCTCAGTCTTTAGGTTATGAAGAAAGCTGATTCTGTAAGATATTGGGAAACTAAGAGCATTTGCAAAATATGAGAAACAAGCGACGAAGTTAATAAGAAAATTATCATCAATTCACAATAAAAAGCTCACAGGTATACAATGTACGTAGCTCTACATCAGATGTAGCAAAGAAAGAGCAAGGGACAAATATATAAGTGCAGATAACATTGCTGAATTGAACTTACTGCCCCTGTACGTAGTTCTATTATTTTTTGAAATAATCCCGTAAGCGTAACACCTATTTGTGTATCCAACTTGGCGACTTGGAAAAGTTAGCAAATAATTTGTGGATCCAACGTTATACGCTAAGGGTTTTACGCTTCTCAAGTCAGTGTAGCATAAACATGCTCGTAAAATAATATTCTCGGGCAATCGAAAAAAAAGGGGACAACTTAAGGGTGCCAAGGATATACACCTGGCGAGGGCCGAAACCAATGCTAGAGAACTTATCCTTCATTTCCTGGACGGAAGCCTTGTCCCACTGTGGAATACGCCCCTCTGGATCAGGTTCCTGAGCGTCAGATCGTCCGAATTGTCTATCGAATAAGCCCCACTGTTGACATTAGAAATTGCAACAGGTCAATTGGCTCGTCGTTTAAACTTAAAAGTGGGGGAAAAACATGTATATTGTTAATCATAGAAAGCTTTTCAGCAACGTTATAGTAAAGGACTAGAAATAAATGTTTACTGCCAACAGAAACAGAAATTTAACTAGGAACAATACTGAGTCGAAATGAACCTGGCCAGTCGAACCGTATGCTGTATATAGTAATCTTCCCTTCTCCTCATTCCCGCCACATTTGCGAATGGCAGAATCAAGGAAGGTTTTCTTCACGGCAGCTTGTGCTGTGTCAGGAAAGATAAACCACAACACATGAGAAGAGCATCTTGCTAGATTTGTCGCATATTTCAGCGGGTCAGGATAAAAAAAGATACTCTAAAATGATTGGTTAAATGATTGTTGGATATGGTGGATTTCAATTTCAAGCCACGCACAAAATTAAGGTTTACCATGAGTTTCTCTAAGACAATGCTCAGTTCTTAGTGCCACTCTTGTACTTCACATAAATGCTAGGGCCCTCAAAGCCATAAAAAAAATAAGGATACAGTGACGTGAGGCAAGCAAACTCTTGTCGAGTTAACGATGGAAGGTACATTTTCATATTGTGCTCATTTTACCTTACCTCACCATCACATGTTGGTGGATTGATCCTTGGTAGGTTATGAGAATGGAGCACTTGTTATTGTTAGTAAGTATAAGCAGTCAACTAAGATCGTAATTCGAAGAAGAAGAAGGGGAAAAAATCCAAATTCTGAAAAAGATTGTAGAAAAATATAGCTTATTACCCCCATATTGGATGAGGTCTGCAAATGCAAGAGGCCCTCCTTTGGAATAAGAATCAATTTCCTTTTTCGCCTCTGTCAAGAGATTCATAGCAGCAGAAAGCCCACTGTTTTCAGGTCTGCTCATCTCCGAACTCCATGCATAAAGAAGAAGAAAACAAGAACAAGACTTAATACTGCTGCACAAGTACCAGATGAGATAACACTTAAAAATGTTAATTTATTAATCAGTCAAATTTATGGCCGCGTTTTACCTTAATCGGATCGATCCATTTGGCCCCCCAGATTTCGTAGCCTAAAAAAAATTTAAGCCAACAAATCAGTTGAAGAATCATCAGGAGGAGGCCAGACTGAATTTTTAAGGCTTGTAACCTGACCTTGTCATAAGTCACAGCATCATTGAGTGCTAGGGTCAGTATCGACGGAACGAGCTCTGGGTTTCCCTTCAGAAGGCAAGGGGAACAAAAAAAAATGTAAAAGACAACCCTAGAGCTAAAATGATGAATCTTTCGAATTAAAGAGAGCACGAAACTACCTTTAAGGCCGTAGCAAGCGTGTCTTTGATATTTGCTGTCAAAGAACTAAAAGGATCAACATACTGAGCTTTTTTTTACTAGTAATACCAACAATACACAGATCGTAACGCTCTTACATAAAAATTCAGAGCGCTGTCGACGTTGAATGAGATCGGCGGCTCTTTGGTGAACAGTCCGGAGCTCGCCACCATTTCCTAATAAGGTAAGCAGAACTGGCAGAAACTCATAATCACATCAATGATCATTCCATTGCGTAGACCAAAAATAAGTACGAATTAATTTTACACTACGCGAAGTTAAAATTAGAGGCCGCTCCTATTGATGATAAAACGAGAGAAAATCGGCTAATAAGGTAGTTCGGTCATGTACAGCAGCGACCTCTTAATATACCCGGGAATAGAATTCATGTAGCCGACCCTAAACATTTAGGATAAAGGTTTACCACTCCAACAAAAGCGCCGGCGCATTTAAGAGCGTCCCTTCGATTCAACGGCCGCACGCCAGAACCCTCATCGGCTTTCTGACGACAGCAGATCGCGCCCTGGTTTTTGGACAAGAAAGAAAGAAAGAAAAAAAGTTGCAGAGTCTTCCAAATTTTTAGAAAAAAAAAAAAAAAATCAGCAGGGTTCTAATTTTCCAGGGCTCGAGGTTGAAGTTACGCTGGGGAGCCATTGTTGAGTTGAGAGTCCTTCGACTTTCTCTCTCCCCTCCTCTGTATTTTGTTTTCCGGAGGAAGTTGAGCGATGAGGTCGGACCGCAATCTAATCGAGAATTTGAAACTGATAAGGTGGGGCCTACGTCTCGCTCGCTCTTGATTTTTCTGGGGTTGGATCAATATTTTTTGAGAGTCGCTAAAGTCACACTTTAAACCACACTCCAATCGTACTCATCTCTCGCTACAGTGCACTCGCCTGTAGATATTCAATATTTCTGCTAGAATTGGATTCATACCTATCAACTTATTTAAATTTAAACAATAAAAAACTGAAAATGTGACTTAATTACTAAGGGAAGTTGAAGTTACTAGGAGGGCGTAGCTAATGATTTTGAGAGGTTTGGGGCACGGAAAACTTTTCCAAACAAACAAACAAACAAATAAATAATACACAGTTCGCCAAAATTATTTCCACCGGCAAGAAAAAAGATCATATCGCTAAAAAAGTCAAGTTAAAATGTCTAAATGATGTCGGAGCCCAAACGAATATCATAATGAAAAAAATAATGTTAGGGGCACACCCCTTAACACACCACCAACCACACCCCCTCTCCTATCGCTATAGTAAACCGGGCCCCACATAGGATTTTAAAAATTTTAAAATCCCATGTAAAGGCCGGTTTACTGTAGCTATGAGAGAGGAGGGTATGGTTGGTGGTGTGGTTGGTGGTGTGCCCGTAACACCACTCAATGAAAAATGAGGTTAACATGGAATACGAATCTGAAATAGTTTAGACCCAAAAACATATATAATTTCACTACTTTGGGCATCTCCGTATCAATATAGTCGTTAGTCACCACGCAACATCTGTATATTCTCAACACACAATTTGCATTTTTGCATCGAGTTCAAGCTAAATCCTGCTCGCTACTTGATAATTGTTCCGTCGCCAGAAAATGAAGCAAACTCAACTAAAATGTTTAAGTGGAGATGGTGATAAAACAAGACATCTACATACATCAGGGAAAGGAATTATTGACTGTAATCACACGCCATAACATCAACATGCCCCCCCAGCAGTATCACTTTCAGAAATAATCCCCCATCTTTATATCTACTTATAGATACTCTTCTACCGACTGTTCTTCATTCAACTTCACATACGCTGGTTCTCCCTTCGCCTTACATATCGAGTCCTGTCATTGTATCGGGGCCTATCTTGAGCTCTCTGAGGCACTGGCTCGACTCTCCGCTGTCTTTCAGGAGATCGTTGAACGATTTGTCCGTTCACAAACAACTCAGCTGCAATCAGTAGACAATCATTAACTGTTAATAAAACGGTGGTTCAGAGATGGTCAATTCATTCAATCAATTTAACAAAACTCTCAGCGGAAAACTACAGATACACAAGTATCCATAATCAGATCGTACGTGTAATAAAATGTGCTCATCTGAAAGAAAAGGTACTATTTGTTGTGCATCTAAAGCCAAAAGGATTTTGTATGCTACTTCTATAATTGCATTGCATTTAGTATTTACAAGAAGAAATGCCCACAGCTTTGCCCTGTTGCAGTCAGGGTCCATAAGATATTGTAAAATAACCAATAACTAAACAATGAAACCTCATTGAAGATAGTGCAGAACTCGATAAGTTGTAGACATAGCATGATAAAGAAGTAATCGTATATGTCTCCTCATGTTTGACCTGCAACTTCATAGTTGATAAGTGCAGAACTCGATAGAAGATTGCTAATGTTAGTCCATTAGCATTCAAAGCTAGACATTGCTCCAAGGGCTTCTTAGCTTTGCCAAGATGGACTCATTTATATATTGATAAATTAAGTTAGTTTAAAATTTTACGTAGGATATGAAAATGGAATGAAGTCTACCTTCCAAATACAAAGAACTACTTAAAGGTTAGAGCAAAGAAGCCATCATGAAACATTTTAAAGCACAGGTGACATAGGAACGAAATTGTAAATGTCTCCTCATGTTTGATCTGCAACTTCATTCAAGGAAAGCACAGAACTCGATAGAGGATCGTCAGTCTTAGTCCATTAGCATTCAAAGCTAGACATTGCCTTGAAGGCTTTCAGCTTTGCCAAGATGGACTCATTTGTACAAATGATAAATTAAGGTAGATAAAATTTAAGTAGGGTACAGACAGGGAAACATGTCTACCTTCCAAATACTGGGAAAGGCGTTACGGGTTAAAGCTAAGAAACTGTTATGAAACATTATAAAACACCAGTGCAACATTGGCAAAGATAATCTAGAATGGAATATGATAAAACAAATTAAAACCAAAATGAACACAGAGATCCATATGTAAAACAACAACAACATCAAAACCATGACGAAAACGTTAAATAGGAAAATATAATAATTTAATAAGGAAGTGATCCACTTGCCTCCATAGTCCTTGTTTTCAGCATCAACATAAGAATCAGGAAGAACAAACAGAACACCGGGAAGGCCTGAAATCAACCACAGACAGTCAAAGAGATACCTCGACAGAACATATGATAGGCTTCCAAAAGTCATCAAATGCAAAAGAATACAAAGAAAGCTTCTTGAGGTAAGATGAGAAAAAGATCCAAAATTGCTTGCTAATCCCAAATATGGGATCTCGATAACCTTTAGGTTAAATGGCCTCTTTATAGGAAAAGTTCCCAAAAGTGAAACGAGTCTTAGCAGATATGCTGTGTTAGCAATAATGCACTAATTTAAAGTTAGCAGCCTCAACTACTTCCATAATTTGATGAAAGGCCACAGTAGATAGAAAAACCAAACAGAGAAATGAGTAATAACCTTCAAGCTTGTTTGATGTCTCCTCATCAATCTCACATCCAAATCCGAAGTAGCGCTCACAAGACACATTATAGATCTTCTGTATTGCTTCTTGCTCACTAGTTAAAAAAAATGAAAAAACATGTGAGTCAAAATAAAACTCAACTACAATTTTCAGACCTATATGGATCAGAATGATGAGCAATTACAAAACGACATGTGTACAAATAAATGTAGAAAACATGAAAATGTTACCATGGACATCCATGGTTGCTAGGTTGCTATTTGCTAAAGAATATGCTTTGCATTTCTTTATAATAATTCTTCAGGTCTTCGATGGCTAGTGTGTTCATCTAAGTTACTTACACTTCATATTCCATCCTTCTCTTCTTGTAAGTGAAGAGAACGACCAACTTTGTGTGCTAGGATGGGACACTTCACAGGTTTACATGTAATGAAGTTAATTAAGTAGTCTCCTTTCGATATACAACCTTTCTATATGCAACCCCTATGCCACATGTCCTAAAGATTAAAGAGCATGATCTTCAACACGGACGAAAAAACTCCTGGAGGTATCCTAAAGAAAAAAAAGATACGAGCATCTCATTCCTTGGTTTACAACTTTGGCTAGGATTCTGATAAAACAATTAATCAAAAAGTGACAGATCATTGATATACTCCATCTTCATCCTGCGTGAACAACAAAAGCCTAATTCCTAATCAATAACCCCAATTCAGCTACAAGAAGCAATCAAACCAATATACACACAATCCAAACATCCGATATCGTTTAAAAAAAACGTTTTCATGTGAAAATAATACCTTTTGTGAACTCGGACTCTGGTTTTAATGTAATAATCAGCCAGAATTGTCTACCATATATCAAAACCCTAATTCAGCTATTTTTTTGAAAGAATGAAGTTATACCTTCCGAGGACCTTGGCTAGGGTTTTGACATAACAATCAATCATCTGTTCCTTCGTCGCCCCCTCACCTCCAGGCTTATCCATAACAATCAACCAATGATTATAATCGCACCCAGGAAACAACGGCGCCATCTCCGTCGGCGGCCGGTCACTGTACCCGGACCTCCCGCTGCGCCGATCCGGTAATCGCCGCCCGGTTTCACCGCTGCATGCAACCCGTAGTGAAACAGAACGGTTGATGGCTGGTTAGAGCTCGGAGAGAGGAGGAGATCGGAGATGGCCGAGGCGGAGGAAGGAGGAAGGAGGAGAGGACACGCTTGAATGGAGAGGGAAAGAGAGGGGGCGGAGAGAGGCGGAAGGCGACTGGATCGAGTCATGGCGGCGATCGCCATCTGAGCGGAGCTAGGGTTTATCTAGGGTTTTTAGGTGGAGAGAAATGGGGGGTTTTATCGGGGAATGGAGATCCGATTGGGTGCGGATACGGGTAGGGTTGTGTGAGTTAGACCCGTCACTTATAGTGCCTTTTATTAGTTTTTTTTTTTTTTGGGTTTTGGGTGGGGGCGTGGGTGGGCTCTTGAAAATTAATGGAAATTAAAATTTTTATGAATAAATTAAGGAAATTTAGAGAAACCATAATAGTTAGACTTAAATGACTAAGTAATTATTAGTTGTAAATAAGAAAAAAAACAAATAATAGAGAAACGTGTTTGATCCAATACAAGTAAAATGTTCAAGGGAGAAACAGTAGAATATTATCTTTTTTATTCAGTGATAACATGAATAAAACACAATATGTACAACATTTTTTATTTTTACTTAGTGACATTGAGAAAATCAAAAAATTACAACAACGACTTGTTTTGCTTTGCACAAGCATACTTCACGCTCGCTTCCGCGTTCATCTGGACTCCACTGTCTTCTAATTCTTCTCATACTATGTAACGTCATTGGATGTTTAATGCAATAAATGCATTTGCCCAACCCTATGAAATTAAAAAAAAAATGTTAGAACATTTTTGCATGTATATCATCTAAGACATTTTACACAATATAATTGTTTAACTTTCAAAAGCATTGGATGCAAATAGAAATACGTACTTTAAGATATCAGTTACCCCGTATGGTCTAAATTTTAACAATAACGTCTATAAATATTATGATAAAGGTATATATGCAATTCAATATTTTTATGAAGAATATATATTAACTTAGTACATTCTAGATATAAGCAAGTTGCTACTTTTGAAAGTATATGTGCCTATTCCAATAAAATGTAAAAAAAAAATTTTTTTTTGATGAACAGAAAATGGAAAAGGGAGAATGAAAAGAAGTACATGACAAAAATAAAGTTGAAAATTTATTAGTCCGCAATGAGGTATCCATGCCAAAAAAAAAATTCTTATTAGAAAAAAGGGAAAAAATGGGCAACTAATTAAAGAATCAAGTGTTTCAATGGTTTATTTCTAAATAACTGACGTAAAAAATAAAGTGATAGCTAGTATATACGGCAATTTCGTATATAAAAAAAACTAGTTCATGTACGTAAACATTCAACATTATCTTGTAGTTTTAGCAAATAATAATAATAATAATTTTTATGACTGCTTTTGCATGCAGTAATCATTAAAAAGAATTTACAGTAAGAAACAAATAAAGTGACCGTCAGAGGTTACCTGGTCATACTATTCACTGCTATTGGGATCCAACTCTGCGCCTCTATTTGTGGACTTCTGCAGATCTCCAACCGGTAAAACTTGATCCAGATATTTGTTGTTCATTGCTGCTCTTCCTCTAAAACCGTTTTTCTTCTCCCCTTTATATATAGACAAACGATTGTTATGTTTTCAATGGCAAGTTCATGCTCCATACATTCCTCATTTAATACCTGATACAGTGATTTACAGGGGGAGAAGTATCAAATCTGATTCAAATGCAAGTGGTGTGCATTGGGTGGTTCAGTAGCTAGTGTCCATGTATATAATGATATCATTTGGATTGTGTTCGTGTGACTTACCGATATCTACGGGTATGCAAGTAATGCTCTACAAATCTATGAATGCATCATAAGTTGGTGATAATCCTATCTTTATTCCATAACATTTTGATTTATGATCAATGTGTTCCCGATTCTTTCTAGTAACAATATTGTGGAACCTTTTCTTTCTAGTAACAATATTGTGGAACATTTTGATTTAGGAGAAGCTTAGCCTTTAGGCATTCTTGGAAACTTATCTCCTAGGAAGAAAAGACATTTATGACGGAAAATAAAAGCATATTGAACTATGCCTTATCAAATTGAAGATACAATGTTACACTGAAATTGAAAATATAGAACAATATCTCAAAATAGAACTAAACATACTCAGATATGTGGAATGGTGGACAGACTTCAACAGGAACTTCCGCTTTCAATATCGGTTTCAGATCGCCAACCCAAATCCATCTTCTTGCATACTGACGCTGCTCAAGCATGTCTGACGAGCCTAGAGGCTCGAACAACACTAAACAAGGACTAGTGAAATAAGTTGGGATCGCATAGATTTAGAGTGCCGCCCTTTCTCTTATTTTACCTCTTAACCAAACACCAAAAACACAGCAAAATAAAACAGAACAAAGATGTTTCATGGCAAATCAGCACGTAAAACTGAGTTGGTTTCTAACTCCAGCAGAAAAAGAATCTAAAGAAAAATGTTATCCTCATAAAAATTTAAAAAGTATATTTGGTCATTAAGTCGAACAATAATATGGACACATGATAGTTCACATTTCACTGATCATGGAAGAAGCAAGCAAGAAAAAGCAAAGGGGAGGCCATAGAAGAAAGCACAGAATGCTGGATTTTGTAGGAACTTCTGTTAACGGGGTGCACAAATTAGTGGTGAACAGTCATGCTTGAAAATGCAGCATCTAGTAATGTAGAAACAAGGACTCCGGTTCTTCTAATAATCGAATGCACCTTTTACTCCATCCAGGCTTTCTCCTAGTGATAACCTGCAGCGCAACCAAGTTAACAAATTTAAGAGACATGAGATATGAGCAACAAGTTAGCTGCATGCAGACAAGTATGAGCTTTCATATCTGAAATGGAGATGGAGTTACAGGCAACAAGATGCTAGAAAATGAAAAAGTGAGAGTGACAAAAAACGAAAATACAATACATAGCTCATCTTCCAGACCCTTTTTGTGTTGAAATTATTGCACAACTTATAGTCTTTAATACACGATGACTGACGATGCAAGGAGAATCCATCATGACCTAGGTTCCTGGGTTATTAGATTTTCTCTGAGACCCCACTAGATGAAGTGAACGCTCCGTGAGAGTCCTAGAAGACCAGTTCATGCTGGCCTCCTCAGTAATAGTGTAAGTTCAGTATCACCTCCAAAGTTGCCTCAATGCATCCCCATGTTTTTCCCTATCAATCCATTATCATTTATTGGAGAAACCAAATCATATTTGTAGCCTAGGTTTAGGCAGTGAAGACTTACATCAGTTTGAAAAATATTGCTCACCCTAATCAAGCACAAATTGTTTTTTTCTCTCAACAAGTTGTTCTTCCAAAATCAAAATGAGAACATATGCGTTGCTGCATTTGTTCTAGTACATTACTAATCAAGAATTTCACTTTCTTGGACTCTGAAGATCAGCAAACTTACTTGCGCATGCAGAATTTGTACTCATTGCTGCGAACATAATCCTTCTCCCCCTCTTCAAGCTAAAAGAACAAAATCAACAACCAAAAGTTACAACTTTTCTACACAAATCAATCAAATAAACCCTAGGGGAGAAAACAGTAAAAAAAATTTTTACAGGATCACTCTCGTAGACGAGAGAATAGCAAGTAGGCGACAGACATCGAAGCGCGCAGTTCTCCTTCTCGATCACCGACGACTTACACCTCCACCCCCACATCCCACTTCACCGACAAACCACAAAGATTCAATTTTTATCGATCCAGTTACACAATTTTACAAGAAAACGAGGCGAAATTGAGAAAGCTGATACCTTTCGACGTCGGCATAGCAAGCTTGCTTCTTCTCTCTGATCTCTTCGTCCTGCATCGGTTTGAATGACGTTAGCACATCCAAAGAGGAATTAAGAGCTCAAAGCCCAAAATCGGGATCTAGAGAGAGCTTACAGTGATCGGACGAGGAGATGATTTGGCGAGAGCGGGAGGAGAGAGAAAGCTCGAGAGGATGAGCGACAGTGTGAAGTAAGTGAGAGAGGAGGATGAGAGCGCGATCGCCATGGATCCAATTATCGTCGACGAGAGTGAACTTTCGCAATCCAGGTCAACGATTTTTCGCGATGTAATCTGTTTATCTTTATGACCCCTCATCAAATATTAAATTACAGTTTGATAAAACTATTTTTGCAATGAATCATGAAACTTTATGTGTAGTTAATTCAAATTAATTATAGATTTTCTTACAATATTGGATGTATAATTAAAAAAACACTTGTAATATCTCAGCTTTAAGCTGCAGAATAGTGCTAAAACCAATGCATGGAATTTGCAAAGAGGTTTTGCTAAGGGAGGCGTGTTAAATGTTTCTAAATCATTTATATGTTGAATTTGCTATAATCCGATATCAAATTTTACCATTAAAATAAGTATTGGAGTTTAACAATACTAAGTTCTTCACGGTACATTGAAGCATCGTGATCTTATAGAAGGGACTAGATTTTCTAAAAAAAATTCTACATGGGAAATTTCATGAAAATGAGCTTCTAATATAATTTGAGAAATTTCATAACATGTAAATTGCAGGCCTTGAGATAATAATTTTTTTTTATTTCAAGTACAAATATCTTACTTTGTAACTCAATATTCGAGATAAAACAAGAAAGAAATTTCTCATGGATATTTTCAATCTTAAGACTTGATAGTTAGGTGGTGGGAAATGATCAAATCGAAATTAAATATTAAGATGTTCATATTTATGTTTTTTTTTAAATTGTCGAATTCGAATGCGGACTTTAATATTCATATATGAAGTTTTTCAAATTTGAACTCGAATACTTGGTATTTAATAAATATTCATGAATAATCACAAATATGATTTTTTCCCTTCTTAATATATGATGTATATGTATTTAAATCAGAAGTTTGATTTGAAAATATATTTAAGATTTTTTAAGTCTCAAAATTAGTACATAAAGCTTAAGTAAATATGGTAAGTGAGTTAAAAATATGACATCATATGTGCAATAATACAAATAGTACATGATCAAACTTTAAATGAATATTTGACAGACAAACAAATCGAATATACATCTAATTAAATTCTATTTGTTAGTAAACTCGAGTAGTAAAAATATTTATATGGTGGTAAATGATCTATCAAATCGTATATGATTGAATAATTAGTCGAACAGTTATAGAATTATTTGTTAATTATTTGAGACATCTCTTGAAATTGTGAACTCGTGCAAATAAAGCTTTGTCTTCGGATCAGGCTTTGAGTAAGTACCAACCCGACCCGTCACCATCCAACCCCCTATCGACACGATAAAATCCTCAAAGCGCTCGCTCGCTCGCTCGCGCTCTCCCTGGATTCTCTCTAATGGCGATAATCTCAGGAATCCAAACCCTAAAACTCTCTCCTTCTCTATACAAACCCCGATCCTTTCTCTTCCCCATCAAAACCCTAACCCTAACCCTAATCCCATCCCTTAAACCTCGTCCTCCTTCCCTTTGCAGAGCATTCTCGCCCCGAGCTGTTCAGATCGCCGACCCTTCAGTAAAGGAAGAGAAAGGCGCGACCTTCGCTAAACCTCAGTGGAGAGCGGCCATTGACTTCAAATGGATAAGGGAGAATCGGGATTTGGTCGCTGAGAACATCAGGAACAGGAACTCGGCTGCGAATTTGGAGCTCGTTCTGGAGATTTACGAGAAGTTTCTCAATCTTCAGAAGGTGAGGCCGTCGATTTTTTTATCACTTTTTATCTTTGCGATTGCCAATTTGTTCAAAGGTTAGATCTTTGATGATTATTACTCCAAAAAGTTCCACATTTGATTTGATGAAATATCATTGTTATTAATTATTCTTTAAAGATGTATACCTAATTATCACTTTGCAGATGGCAGGAGGTTGAACGGCTCCGAGGAGAAAGAAATGTGGTTGCTAATAAAATGAAAGGAAAATTAGAGCAATCTGCGCGTCAAGCTCTCGTCGAAGAAGGTAACACTCCCACTGCTCCTACATGTACTGTCTTTCTAGGATTCTTTCGGAAAACCTTATCTCATTTTTGTTGCAGGAAAGAATTTGAAGGAGCAACTTGTTTCCTTAGAAGAAGAGCTCGCTGAACTCACTGATGTGCTTCAATTGGAAGGACAGTCCATACCTAACATTACGCATCCAGATGTTCCTGTTGGGGGCGAAGACAATTCTGCATTGAGAAAGATGGTATAGTCTTAGGGTCATTCTGCTTTACCTTCATTCTTTATTTCTTAAGCTCATTTCATCTTAATCATGCAAGCACTTCCCCATCAAAATGAGATTTAGTATGGAGCACGGCTCAAAGCCGAGCAAGCTCCCAGAATGAATGAACTGAAGCTGTCAAATTGACATCATTCTTAGCATGAGTTGATATCAAACTACTGGTTGAAGAAACTGCACAAAAGAGGGCTGGACATGTGTTTAAGCTTGCGTAACCAAGGGGTAAAGCCTCCGGATTCGCATAAACCAAAAAGTCCAGATGAAGAGGCGTGGTGTTCACATTGTGACCACATTCATCTCTGTGGCATAAGTGAAATAAGAATAAAAAATTCTCCAAGGATCTGGATTTCTTAAGTTGATGAACATACATTCTTTTGTTTTTCTCAATTTCATAGGTTGGCAGTCAGAGAGAATTTAGCTTTGCTCTGAAAGATCATCTTCAACTTGGGAAAGAACTTGATCTATTTGATTTTGATGCAGCGGCAGAGGTATAAATTTTGTTTAGCAGCAGCAAATGTATTGATTTATTCTACATTCATTACATTATATTAGATTATATTAGATATACTCGATTATTTTTATTTTGCATTAGATTATATTTTGAAATTACACATCAGCAGGTTATTATTCTACAATCAATAAATTCCCTATCATTTGGTCGATTAAGAATATTTAGTTTTCTCTTTGATGGACCATTAACGATGTTAGTTATCTACTGGTCCATTGAGGTGTATAAACTTCTAGACTTCTTATTGACGAAGCTTTTACTTAATGCTGATAAAATTTATAAGTCAATTACAGTTGATGGATATCTGATTATCTCTTTAACTTTGATGCATTTATATAGAATGGTGAAAGTAGCTTTACTAGTTAATTTTCCCCTCTTTCGTTCTCCATGAAGAATGATTTGCCGCTGCTTATTTATTTTCAATTTATCATGCAGGTAAGTGGTTCAAAGTTCTACTACCTAAAGAACGATGCAGTGTTGTTAGAAATGGCCCTTCTTAATTGGGCAGTTTCAGAAGTTTCAAAAAGAGGCTTTACACCTTTGAGCCCACCGGAGATTGTGAGGTCATCTATTGTTGAGAAGTGTGGTTTTCAACCGCGTGCACAAAATACTCAGGTTTGTAACTCTGGATATTTCTTGTTCTTTTCAGGTATCTATATAAGGTCTGGTTTTATAAAGTTGTTAGCATCTACTAGGATGGATCATCGTAATCAGATTTTAAAAGTTGTTTAGACAACATCTTCCTGTTCTCTGCTATTAGAACCCTATCCAAAATTAAAACCATGATGATATAGTAACGTGTGGGTGAGGTGGAAAAAATTGTGTATTGCCCGTCAAAAGAACAAGGACCAATATATGTGAAGATGATGTTTGTGTTGACGGGAGGAAGAAGAGGGGATATTAAGGCAAAATGCCAGAAAATTGGGGCTAACAGTATATTCCTTGATTTAGAGTGGATTGTTAGAGGGAGGGATTAGTATCAAGTGGGCCTCATATTGTGAGGGACCACTATTCAGAGATGCGTTTATGAGGGATTAGTGTCAAAACACGGACTTGTTAGTATCTATATCCTAAATTCCATAATAGTAGATGTTAGATTTGTTTCATCTTGTTATGCGATATTTCGTTGCAAGGGAGTGGCCTTTCCTGGCAAGTGTCTCTGTTTAAATTATGAATTGCAACTTTTGTCTGTAACCGTTTTCTGTAAGATCATGTCCTTGACATGTTTTTAGTCTGTCTATTATGAAGGCTGATTTTGTTCCTCTTCTACAATGACTTGAGCTTGTTATAGTCCATAACTTGTCCATCAATTATGAAATGTTTCCACTATTGCGGGTTCTGATTTTTGGTGTTCTTTTTCAAATTTTCTTTACGGACAGGTTTATTCTATTGAAGGCAGTGATCAATGCCTCATTGGAACATCAGAGGTTCCTGTTGCTGGCATCCACATGGATTCAATCCTTTCTGAATCTACACTGCCTTTAAAGTATGTAGCAGTCTCTCATTGTTTTCGGACAGAAGCTGGTGCTGCAGGTACCGCCACAAGGTAAGTTCTTCATATGGTCTATTGCTATGCAAACTTAATCGTCTCTGTGGTTCGTTACACTTTCACTTTGTTATTTAGATTTACTGTAGAGAGCTACTACAATTTCTAACCAACCGATTTGGAGTTTCCGAATGTTTCCATTGATAGCTACAAGACATAAGTTATTTGTTTTCATTTAATATAAGCTCTATTTTATTTTATTTTTTAATTTATAACCCATATAATTATTTCTGTAGTTTCTGTTTACGTGTTGATTTTGATTTTATACTGAACCAGGGGTCTCTATCGTGTACACCAGTTCAGCAAGGTTGAGATGTTCATCTTCTGTCGACCAGAAGATAGTGACCGGTACCATGAAGAACTTATTGGAATCGAGGAAGATCTGTTTACATCCCTCGGTCTTCATTTCAAGTAATACATTTGTTCTCTTTAATGTCATTTAGCATGATCTCTCTTCTCACTGATGATCCATTTGATTGTTGTTGTAGCCTTGTAGGTTTGCCATGATAATTATCTTAATCTGTTGAAAGTTTCTTAGTAACATACAGTGATTTATCAGTGGTAAAACACAGGAAACCCTCTAGTGCAACATCTTTCACTGACGGTCCGCATCTTCTTGTAGGACTTTGGATATGGCAACTGGTGATTTGGGAGCACCTGCATATCGCAAGTTCGATATAGAGGCATGGATGCCAGGTCTCGGACGGTATGGTGAGGTATGTAAAGATGATTACTTTGGAACGCTCCTCATTTTACTTGAAACAGCAGTAACTAAACATAACTAGTCAATTTTTCCGTCTATTTTCTAGCTTTCTATGCTGTTTCCACACTAGTTTCTTTGAGATGCAAAAACCTATAGTTTATCATATACATTAAATTGCCCTGTCATGAAATGCTTCCCTTAGGATCTTCTATTTATCATTTTGTTAAGGACCTTTGTACATCCGGACACAAGCTCCTAGAACAGCAAATGGCAGTTATCCATCTATTTCCTTCACACTGCTAACTCCCAACGCAGAACACAGGGCTTTTCCATGACTTGCTCCATATCAAGATGTTGATGTTAATATCACAAAAATATCCCTCGGTGGCCTATGGAAAATATTACTGCCTGATGAATATTCTAACATGTTCTTCTAACCCCTATTAAACAGATATCTAGCGCGTCCAACTGTACAGATTACCAGAGCAGGAGACTTGGCATCCGATACCGTCCATCTCCATCGGACCCATCACCACGATCTAACTCGAAAAAAGGCAAGGGCAGCAGCTCTTCTGCCACTCGCTTTGTTCATACTCTTAACGCGACTGCCTGCGCTGTTCCTCGCATGATCGTGTGCTTGCTGGAAAATTTCCAGCGAGAGGATGGCTCAGTTCTCATTCCTGAGCCCTTGAGGCCTTTCATCGGGGCCCTTGAAGTTCTGTCTCCAAAGGGTCAGTGATGATGTTTTCTTTCATCTTGCCTGTTTGAGCTTTACTATATGTTATTCATGTTGGATACGGGGAGCTCTGTTATTGTGGCATTTGTTCAACTCAATATTTATTTCATTTTATGACTATCTTCATGCAATTTCTTTTAAAAAAAATGAGAAATTTATGTTCCATTGGGAATTTACAGTCCTTTATTATCAAATAATGCATCAAAACTTAATAGGGGTAATAATCTACCACAATGTGGAAAATATTATATGCGGAGAATATTGCATTTTCTGCATAACATTAACCAAAAAAAAGGGAGAAACATGAAAGAATGGGGAAACTAATTCGTCATCAAAAGCAAAATGTCACGGAGGCAGTTTAGAGATCTCAATTGCCTTCTTTATTCGAGGAATCCTGCCCACTTGCCTGCGGGTTGTTGTTAGTCCTGGTTGTCGTTAGTCCTGCATCCATTCGCAGGATTGCAGCCTTTTGCATAAGGATTAGCCACTGCTCCGGGGTGACAGTTCACGATACCTCCCCTTCCGCAAGGAATTCCGTCTCGTCTCATGGCTTCTCTGCTTATTTCTGCTTTCTCGTCGAAGGGGGGATCATCTTCTCCGACCGTGCTCTTGGTAATACCCATGAATGCTATCAGTGTCAGGACCATCCATGCACGAAAATATGCCATCTGACGAAGAAAATGAAAAGAAAGAGAACACTGGTTATAATCTCGATTTCTCGAGCAGGCAAAATTCACTTTTTTCAAACTTTGATATATTGAAGTTCTGATATGTCAACGTACAAGAAAGTTTGTGTTAATTTTAGTCAAAAATATCAAAATTTGAAAAGCAAATGGGGGAAAAAGAAAGTTTTGTCACCAATTCGGTTTTTCCAGTTTGGAGCGAGTGAGGAACAAAGTGTAAATAATTCTTGAAATTTTCAAATTTGCTAATCCAACGTAAAAGAAAATTTGAGGAAAGAAATGGAGAAGCTTACCTTTTTTTCCCTTCTTGTTTTTTTTTTTTTTTTGTTTGGGTAATCTTTGATGTTCAACGTGAACCTTGATTATATAGTTTTCTTTGAATTTGGATTTCTAAGTTTGGACATAGGGGTCTGTGGATATACGTAGAAAAAGGTCTTGAATTTGAATTTCTAAGTTTGGACATAGGGGTCTATGGATATACGTAGAAAAAGGTCGAATGAAAATGGATGGACGCAGAAAACTGTGAGGATGAACTATTTTCTTGCGCATATACGTAATTAATTATAATAACTATAAATTTAAATTATATCACAACCATCTACAGCTTTATTTTACACGGAGCTTCAATGGATGTATAACATCAGTGCAATCAATAAAAGTAAGGGTGACACTAGGGGCACACCTCCAACCACACCCCCAACCACACCCTCTCTCTTATTTGCTACAGTGCACCGAGTCCCATATGAGATTTTAAAATTTAAAATCTCATGTGGGGCCCGGTGCACTGTAGTAAATGAAAGAGGGGGTGTGGTTGGATGTATGGTTGGGGGTGTGCCCCTATCATTTTCCAGTAAAAACATAAATAATCAAAATATTAGTGCAAACTAACTACTATATATGTCAATACAATCATTCGTTCTGCAATTCTCTATGTAATTGGTAATCCAAAACAAGATTTCGAGATTATTTTTTAAATCATGAACATTTAACTACTATTGTACAACTAAGACTGAAACTAATGTAGATCTTAATAGAATAATTATGGCTAAAAAACTTATGTATAAATGATAGTTGTTTATTTTTTTAATCAGAGACATAGTTTTACTACTCATATTATTAACATTTTTTAAAGTAATACTTATATCATCTACTATTAAACTACTTCACTGTGCACTGCGGGGTACGTGTCATGCATATTGTCGTCGTTTCTACCTTAATTCCATAAAAACTCATCAACGTTTATCTCAGACTTATGGTAAATATCACATAATACCTTACAGATTCCCCCATTTTCCGCTTATACACCCTCAATTGCTCTTGTCAGCGCCTAGGGGTGGTAAACGATCGAATCGAATCGAATACTAAAGTGTTCGTATTTGTATTTGTTTAAAATTATCAAATTTGAATGCGGACTCTAATATTCATATATCTAGTTTTTCGAAATCGAACTCGAATACTTGGTCTTTGATAAATATTCATGAATATTCACGAATACTTATCGAATATCAAAGTATATTTATTCCGCTAAACAATTTAATTTTTAAATAATATTAAAATTCATAAATAAAAATTATTCCTTTATAATATATGATATATATATTTAAATCAAAATTTTAATTAGAAAACAGATTTAAGAATATTTAAGTCTTAAAATCAGTATATAAAACTTAAGTAGAAATGGTAAATGATTTAAAAATATGACATTATATGCGCAATAATACAAATAATAAGCTGTGATCAAATTTTAAACGAATATTTAATAGACAAACGAATCGAATATACATCTTGTTAAATTCTATTCGTTAGTAAACTCGAATACTAGAAAATATTTGTTGAGTGGTAAATGAACTACTGAATCGAATATGACCGAGTAGTTATTCGAACAATTATCAAACTATTTGTTAATTATTTGGTTCATTTTCACCTCTATCAGCGCCCATACATATCGAAGTTCCTAAAAAATTGTATTTGAATACCCTTTGTTATGCAAACGTAAGGAAGTTCTCTCGATTTTTTTTATGTGACACTCACACGCTACCTGTATAACTTTTTTGCCTTTAATTTTCATTGAATTTTCTATTGAAATGGCCACAATTCTATTTTAAAATATACGATATAGCTTTAAATTGGTATTAGAGTATGTTTAACAGTAAATTAACAAACATCAAGGATTGAAAGGTCTAAAATTAGTTTGTGAGTGTCAAATGAGAAAATTCAAAGAACATTCCCGCGTTAGTACAATAGAGGGGATTAAAGTGCAACTCTTAGAAACTTTAGGGCTTTGTAAGTGCCGCCAAAAACAAGTGAGGGTATATAAATGCAAAATCGGGGAAACTATAAGGTATTTAACTGCAATTAATCTCGAACTCATTTGTCCAGTAAGCGAACCTGAAGCACTTGTCGTCGCCGCCATTGGAGGTGACGGAGCTTGAGGAGCTCCCTGAGCAATGGCGGAGGTCGAAGATCGTCTGGCTTTGTAAGGAGTTGCCTTCGCATAAGCCGGCGACGATGGTGAGGATCCTTGGCGCTCAGAGGAAGTGGGTTCGGCAGGAGGATGTGGGTTATGTTGTTCTCCATTGCATGCGGATTCGAGAGAACGAGGCGAGCAATCGGGTTAGTTTAACTCTTTGCCCACCACCTGTTCGTTGAATTTACGCTTAGTGTTCTCTCTTGTCAGCATTTGGTTTCGATGATTTTTGGCTACTCAAATTCTAATTTTCTTCTTGTGGGTTTTTTTTTGTTGGTGTTGGGAATGGTGAAGAATTGCAACATAAAAATTGGATCGTTGTACGTGGAGTTAGTAGTTTTAAGAGAATGCTTAGTTGTAAGGGTAGTGACTCGCTGTCCACCACCTGTTAGTTTAGTTTGCCACTGTTTTGGTGAGAGGAAATAGAGCTGCAGGAGCAAATAGTGTAGTTAAATTTATATTTTCAATGTATGATCAACAATATTGACATTAAAAAAGGTAGGTCAAGTTAGAAATTTATAGAAACAATTGCAGAAAAATAAATGTTATAGAATTCTCCCACAAAGGGGAGGAAAAAGGTATTCCGATCCAATTTGAAAGTTTGTAGCTCTTGAATCATTTGTTTTTAGACCAAACATTGAAACTTGCCATGAAAATACATTTTCCATGGTAAAATTGGAGATATCCAAACAACGGATTTGAAATAGATTTCCTGCAATAGATGCTACATTTCAACATTTGCTACACTTTCTTTTTGTGCAGCAAAACAAACAGCTCCTTATTCTCTTATTGCTTGTTGGTCCTTCACATTCTTATTGTTCTTGTGGGTTTTGATACTTTGAAGCATTGCGACATCAAAATTGATCCTTGAAGAGGTTTGCTCTATGTACAACAAAATGATTCAGTTGGGAGGCTGCAAGCCTCCTCGTCTCAGCTTGCACAATTCCCTATTCAGAGCTCTTGTCAGTAAAACAGGAGGATCTTCAAAGCATAATCTTAGACAAGCAGAATTCGTCTATCATCAGAGCTCTTGTCAGTAAAACAGGAGGATCTTCAAAGCATAATCTTAGACAAGCAGAATTCGTCTATCATAATCTTGTCACGTCTGATCTGGAGGTGCACAAGGATGTTTATGCTGGACTCATTTGGCTTCATAGCTATCAAGATGTTTTCATGCAATTTCTTTTTTTAAAAAAATGAGAAATTTATGTTCCACCGGGAATTTACAGTCCTTTATTATCAAATAATGCATCAAAACTTAATAGGGGTAATAATCTACCACAATGTGGAAAATATTATATGCGGAAAATATTGCATTTTCTGCATAACATTAACCAAAAAAAAAGAAAGAGAAACATGAAAGAATGGGGAAACTAATTCGTCATCAAAAGCAAAACGTCACGGAGGCGGTTTAGAGATCTCAATTGCCTTCTTTATTCGAGGAATCATGCCCACTTGCGTGCGGGTTGTTGTTAGTCCTGGTTGTCGTCAAGTCCTGCATCCGTTCGCAGGATTGCAGCCTTTTTCATAAGGATTAGCCACTGCTCCGGGGCGACAGTTCATGACACCTCCCGTTCCGCAAGGAACTCCGTCTCGTCTCATGGCTTCTCTGCTTATTTCTGCTTTCTCGTCGAAGAGGGGATCATCTTCTCCGGCCGTGCTCTTGGTAATACCCATGAATGCTATCAGTGTCAGGACCATCCATGCACGAAAATATGCCATCTGACGAAGAAAATGAAAAGAAAGAGAACACTAGTTATAATCTCGATTTCTCGAGCAGGCAAAATTCACTTTTTTCAAACTTTGATATATTGAAGTTCTGATATGTCAACGTACAAGAAAGTTTGTGTTAAATTTAGTCAAAAATATCAAAATTTGAAAAGCAAATGGGGGAAAAAGAAAGTTTTGTCACCAATTCGGTTTTTCCAGTTTGGAGCGAGTGAGGAACAAAGTGTAAATAATTCTTGAAATTTTCAAATTTGCTAATCCAACGTAAAAGAAAATTTGAGGAAAGAAATGGAGAAGCTTACCTTTTTTTCCCTTCTTGTTTCTTTTTTTTTTGTTTGGGTAATCTTTGATGTTCAACGTGAACCTTGATTATATAGTTTTCTTTGAATTTGGATTTCTAAGTTTGGACATAGGGGTCTGTGGATATACGTAGAAAAAGGTCGAACAAAAATGGATGGACGCAGAAAACTGTGAGGATGAACTATTTTCTTGCGCATATACGTAATTAGTTATAATAATTACAAATACAAATTATTTCACAACCTTCTACAGCTTTATTTTACTTCGGAGCTTCAATGGATGTATAACATCGGTGCAATCAATAAAAGTAAAAACATAAATAATCAAAATATTAGTGCAAACTAACTACTATGTTAATACAATCATTCGTTCTGCAATTCTCTATGTAATTGGTAATCCAAAACAAAATTTCGAGATTATTTTTTAAATCATGAACATTTAACTACTATTGTACAACTACGACCGAAACTAATGTAGACACAATAGAATACTTATGGCTAAAGAACTTATGTATAAACGATAGTTGTTTAATTTTTTTAATCAGAGACATAGTTTTACTACTCATATTATTAACATTTTTTAAAGTAATACTTATCTTATTCTACCTTAATTCCATAAACACTCTCATTTGCTCTTATTAGCGCTCATATAATCTCGAAGTTCCTAAAAAATGTACTTTAATACCCTTTGTTATGCAAACATTAGGAAGTTCTCTCGGTTTTTTTTCCGTTGGGTTTTCTATTGAACTGGCCACAATTCTATTTTAAAGTATTCGGTATAGGTTTAAATTGGTATCAGAGTTTGTTTAACAGTAAATTAACAAACATCAAGAATTGAAAGGTCTAAAATTAGTTTGTGAGTGTCAAATGGGAATATTTAAAGAAGATTTCCGCGTTAGTACAATAGAGGGGATTAAAGTGCAACTCTTAGAAACTTTAGGGCTGGGTAAGTGCCGCCAAAAACAAATGAGGGTGTATAAATGCAAAACTGGGGAAACTATGAGGTATTTAACTGTAATTAATCTCGAACTCATGTATCCAGGAAGCGAATCGAATCGAATCAGAGCAAAACCAAAGCGGAAAAAAAAAACAAAAATGCTCCTCCGACTGAGCCCAGAACTCTCTTCTCCCTTCCTCTTCTCCTTCAATCACCACCACCAACCTCCTCCTCTCCCCTCCTCCCTCAAACCCATCAACCTCCGCCTCTATCCCCCCTCGCCGCCACGTCACCCACCACCGTCGACCTCCTCGAATCAGATGGACAGCCCACCAAAGGTTTCGACCTCGACGCCCCCCAGTTCGCCGACGTGGCGGCAGACAAGGACCTGAAGCACTTTTCGTCGCCGCCATTGGAGGTGACGGAGCTTGAGGAGCTCCCGGAGCAATGGCGGAGGTCGAAGATCGCCTGGCTTTGTAAGGAGCTGCCTTCGCATAAGCCGGCCACGATGGTGAGGATCCTTGGCGCTCAGAGGAAGTGGGTTCGGCAGGAGGACGTGGGTTATGTTGTTCTCCATTGCATGCGGATTCGAGAGAACGAGGCGAGCTATCGGGTTAGTTCAACTCTTTGCACACCACCTGTTCGTTGAATTTATGCTTAGTGTTCTCTCTTGTCGGTATTTGGTTTCGATGATTTTTGGATACTCAAATTCTAATTTTCTTCTTGTGGGTTTTTTTGTTGGTGTTGGGAATGGTGAAGAATTGCAACATAAAAATTGGAACGTTGTTGTACGTGAAGTTAGTAGTTTTAAGAGAATGCTTAGTTGTAAGGGTAGTGACTCGCTGTCCACCACCTGTTAGTTTAGTTTGCCTCTGTTTAGGTGAGAGGAAATAGAGCTGCAGGAGCGAATAGTGTAGTTAAATTTATATTTTTAATGTTTGATTGGCAATATTGACACTAGAAAAGGTAGGTCAAGTTAGAAATTTATAGAAACAATTGCAGAAAAATAAATGTTATAGAATTCTCCCACAAAGAAAAAAAAAGGGTATGTGATCCAATTTGAAAGTTTTTGAATCATTTGTTTTTAGACCAAACATTGAAACTTGCCATGAAAATACAGTTTCCATGGTAAAATTGGAGAGATCCAAACAACAGATTTGAAATAGATTTCCTGCAATAGAAGCATTTGCTACACTTTCTTTCTGTGCAGCAAAACAAACAGCCCCTCATTCTCTTATTGCTTGGTGGTCCTTCACATTCTTATTTTTCTTGTGGGTTTTGATACTTTGAAGCATTGCGACATCAAAATCGATTCTTTGTAAATCAATTTTAGACAAAAAAAAAGGGATCTTGTTTTGTTTTCAGGTTTACAAGTGGATGACCCAGCAGCGCTGGTACAAGTTTGACTTTCCTCTTGTGACGAAGCTAGCAGATTACTTGGGCAAAGATCGAAAAATTGCAAAATGTCGGGAGCTTTTTGATGATATCATCAACCAGGGTCGAGTTCCCAGTGAATCCACATTTCATATCTTAATTGTTGCTTATTTGAGTGCCCCTGTTGATGGCTGCCTTGAAGAGGCTTGCTCTATTTACAACAAAATGATTCAGTTGGGAGGTTACAAGCCTCGTCTCAGCTTGCACAATTCTCTATTTAGAGCTCTTGTCAGTAAAACAGGAGGATCTTCAAAGCATAATCTTAGACAAGCAGAATTCGTCTATCATTAGAGCTCTTGTCAGTAAAACAGGAGGATCTTCAAAGCATAATCTTAGACAAGCAGAATTCGTCTATCATAATCTTGTCACGTCTGATCTGGAGGTGCACAAGGATGTTTATGTTGGACTCATTTGGCTTCATAGCTATCAAGATGCTATCGATAGAGAGAGGATTGATGAATTAAGGGAAGAGATGATGAATGCAGGTTTTGAGGAAAGCAGAGATGTGCTTTTATCGATCATGAGGGCTTCATCAAAGTTAGGGGATTTAGAGGAAACAGAGCGAATTTGGCTTAATCTACTTGAATCCTCTGGTGGTAATCTTCCTTCTCAAGCTTTTGTTTATAGGATGGAGCTCTATGCAAAGTTAGGAGAACCAATGAAGTCATTAGAGATATTTGAGACTATGAAGACACAAATGCCAACAACTGTGGTTGCATATCATAAAATTGTGGAGATCATGTCAAAAGCCCGTGAGATTGATATTGCAGAAAAGCTTATGGATGAATTCTTTGAAAGTGGTATGAAGCCTCTTATGCCAGCATTTCTCGATATTATTTTCATGTATTTTGATTTGGAAATGCATGATAAGTTAGAATTGGCAGTCTCTAAGTGCCTCACAAAATGCCATCCCAACCGAACCCTTTACAACATTTATTTGGAATCTTTGGTAACAACCGGTAATCTTAACAAAGCTGGGGAAATATTCAATGAAATGTATGTAAATGGAACCATTGGTGCTACTTCAAGATCATGCAACACTATTTTGAGGGGATATCTAGATTCTGATGAGTATGAAAAGGCTGAAAAGATTTACGACATAATGCAACAAAAGAAATATGATGTTGAACCGCAACTTGTAGAGAAACTCCGACATGTTTTTAGTCGAAAGACAAAAGTCGTTAAGCGAAGAGTGAGCATGAAACTCGATCAGGAGCAACGTGAGATTTTGATCGGTTTGTTGCTGGGCGGCATAAGAATAGAATCAGGTGAAGAGAGAAGGAACCACACATTCCATTTCGAGTTCAGTGAGAACTCAGAAACCCATTCTAGTCTTAGAATGCACGTTCATGAAAGATTTTATGAATGGTTAACTTCATCAAGCAGATCAGTCGACGAAGAAAACGAAATACCCTTTCGGTTTTCTACAATCGCTCACTCGTACTTTGGATTCTTTGCTGATCAATTCTGGTTAAAAAACCGATTTGTGGTCCCAAAGCTCATTCATCGATGGCTCTCGCCACGTGTTTTAGCTTATTGGTACATGTTTGGGGGATTCAAGATACCGTCAGGGGATATATTGCTGAAATTAAAGTCTATAAACCGCGAAGACGTTGAGAGAGTTGTTAAAGCATTGCAAGCAAAATCTCTGGCATGTAGAGTGAAGAGAAAGGGGAGAGTGTTTTGGATTGGTTTGCAAGGGAGTAACGCAAATTTGTTTTGGGAAACGGTAGAACCTTATGTATTAGAGAATGTAAGAGAGATCCTTTCACCCTGTAGTATCAATGGGAGGGGAGATCAAAGAGAAGAAGGTGAGAGTCATGAATTTGGCACCGAATCTGATTCTGATGAGCAGAGATGAAACGTTAAACAAAATTGTGTATTCGCTGCGGTGAGCTTGCGACGCCCTTGATCATTGTATGCTAGCAAGCAAGTGATATAGCAATATTTCACACTTCTGTGCTCCTGATCCCATAGAAAAATGATGACACAATGAATGATTGC